ATAATGACTAATTTTAATTTTGCCAAAAAACCAATTGGCTGACATCTTCCTTCTTGTGGGCCCCACCTGTCAGACCCCATCTCTTTCCCCTGTCTCACACGTGGCTTTGGTCCACACACGTGCCTCTTTCCAATAATAATCGGACACGTGCCATCTGGATAATGTAAAGCCCTCTATTTGGTCAAGGTCGGTTTCATTTTCCATAGCTGGTTGCCACACACCAAATTGCTTTCTTTTTTTTTCTCCATACCAATAAATGTCACATTATTTATTTATTTTTATTATTTCGTTTTCACCGTGTTGGTTATAAATTTATAAACTGAAAATGACAGGTTTTATGAATTCAATTACCTTGGAAATATTATTTATGTAAAAATTTATTTTTACTTTTACAATTAAAAAGTTTTGAGAAAAAAAAGATAAATATGGTATAAAGAGAATAAAAAGTCCAACCTTTCTCATGTGAGATGACTGAGAATTGGCAATACTTTATAGTAAAAAGAAAAGGGTACTTATATTTATATATATATATAACTAGTAGATCGAAAAGAGTGGTATCTAGCACGGTTCTAAATTGCATGTATGATAGATTGGACAAGACACACCACTGATCTTAATGCTTCGAGTAGCGAGCTTAAAGAATATGAGAATGATATTATGAAAGGTTTGATTGGTGAAAATCTTAATTCTGTTGGAAATTTAAAGGGTCGAGATCGATTCCTGGGAAAGGGAGGAGGATGACTCACTTTGATTGCTGCTGGTAGTGAGATAACATATACTTGACTAAGTAATTAAGTACCTTAGCTATCAAAGTGACACATTTTTCAATCATTGGACTTTGAGGAGCTTTTAAGGGCATAACCAAATCAAGCTTAACTTTCATGCTGAAGCATAAGAAGATTGGATTTGGAACATAATAATCTCTTGAAATTCAGCCATTATGATAAATAAGAATTGCTAAAAATGGTTAAACATGGTGTTTGGGTGCAATGAAAAGTGAAAAGTCCAACATCCTTATGTGGAATTGTTGAGCATTGAAAATACTTTATCGTAAAAGGAAGAATGTACTTATATTAAAGGACTAGTGCTTGCATAGATTGTGTACAATTGTATCTTAGATTCTGCTTTTTATTTTTATTTTGTTATATATATATAAAAGATTTTAACGTAATTACAAACTGTATGGATGACCGTCATCTCTATTCTATAATAGATTGGATATGATGTTACTGGTCTTGATAAGATAAGGTTTTTTTACGCACCACCTAGAAAAAGAGGTTGAGAGATCAGAAGAAAAATGCTAATTTTTTTTATCACCAAAGAGTTGGCGACCCTTGACCTTTTTGCCCCTATACCTGGGGTATGTGCACTGTTCCTATACCCGTACATACTCAAGGGGAAATTGCTTGGCGGAAGAAAAACGAGTCATGAGATAACTATATTTAACCATGTAAATATCTTTGCCACCAAAGTGACATATATATATATTTTTCAATACAACATGTGGGGGTGGGGATCGAACTCACAACTTCTTAATTAGACATATATGCCAATTATAACTGAGCTATGCTCGTTTTGTCAAAGTGACATATTGTTTAATCATTGGACTTCGAGAGCCTTGAGGGAATAATCAAATTTTGCTGAACTTCTATGTTGGAGCCCAGGAAATTGAATTTAAAACAATACACTCGAAATTCAATGGTCATGATGAATAAAGATTGGTTTTCGACCTCTATTTTCCACCAAGTCCTTTGTTTAAAACCTCACCCCACATTCTTCAAATGTTAGGAGCAATTCACTTTCCTATGACAATTAATCAAGATAGAATTAATGTAAAATTACTTGCATCATTCAAGAGTTTTAGATGATCCAAAACTCTCTTAGTATTATTTGGCTATAGAGCTTTATTGAAAGCAATGAAGTCTTTGAAATCGACATGGATGATTAAAATCCTTCAAAGGGTATTAAATTGAGTACAAAAAAAACTTGCTTTGCAACATATCGAATATTCAGTGGCAATCTACATAGTTTGATATGACAGCATGACGAAATGCATTAAACGTAATATTCCATAACCTGCAGACAAAAGACGCTTTTAGGGAAAGATGATGTGAACATTTCTACACTTAAGCAAAAGCTACAACAAAAAGGAAAGGGGAAATTCATCAATTGGGATCTTATCATTAAAGAAAAAATGAAAAGAAAAAAAAAAGAGTACTAATGAAAACAAATGTTGAAAAAGAAATGAATGAAGATAATGAGTTTCATTTTAAGTGGAACCAAAAGGGCAAGCTTTCTCATCTCTAGCTTATTTTTTGTGCCCTAACCATAATTTCTCATGTGCTAATCTCTCTTTTTATTTTTTTAGTACATCTCTATTTTTGTTTGGTGTTTAAAGGTTGGTTTTGGCAATTAAGTGCATAATTGAGGTTAGTGCACTGTTGGGTTCCAGATCTTAGATGTTGGATGTTGATAGAAATATCAAGATCTATTTTATAAAAATATCAATGTTGATAGATATTTTTGAAAAAATTATAAAAAAAATTCATAACAAATAACTAAATTGGTAAAATTTAAAAATTATTACTATTAATATTATGACCATATTAGTTATATTTTGTTATTTTTTTTATTTGGTTGATTTTTTTGCAATATTATGGAAATGTCGATTCACCCTCATCTCGATGTCGAATTGATGGGTATATAGAAATGTCGACAGAAATTTAATACCCTGTTTGGTCGTGGATAATCAAACCATCAAATAGGTTATTTTAATATCAATATATATTAATGGTTTAAGTTCTACTTTGGCTCATGTACTTTCAGTTCTGGTTATTTCGTCTGTGTATTTTCAAAATATCTGTTTTGTTCCATATATTTTTAAAAAGGATTGTTTTAATCTATTTATACATTTTTATATATCATTTTCTTCCCTCACAATTTCAGTACAACATTGCATCAATAATTATTGATTTATGTTTCTTTGCTCCCACAAAAACATCTTATTATTCTAATACTAGAACACACAATCAATTTAGTTCATTATCTAGTTACCTCAATTGATCGAACTTTTTATCTCTAGAGTTAAGATATAGGATCATAAACATCAAATGATCGACCCATAAATTCTCGATCTTACAATTAAGTGAAGCTGATTTGTTATTTCTCTTATAATTAAATGAGAATGATTAATTCTTATTTTTCTTTGAAATTTTTTCAAAGTGATCTCTTAACACTATCCAAAATGTGTTCACCGATCTAAAATATTAATTGTGTTCTTAAAAATTAAACCCAAGATATCTATGTTTGACTAGTTAGTGTTACTGGCATAACTTTAGTCAGTTATATCTAAGTTCTATAGTCCATATACTCTATAAAATTTCTATTCTTCCTTCGCTTCTCTCATCGTTTTACCTTCTCTCTTAAAATTAGCTAGTCTTTAGTAGTTATTGATCAAGATCATCTTGACACAACTCAATATGTAATAATATGATTCTACTAGAAAATATAATGGAAAATGATTTAGGTAAAAATTATATGGTTTATTAAAAACTCAAAGAAATATTTTAAAGTAACACAAAGCTTCAAGTTAAATATTTATAGGACCCACTTTGAATAAAATCCAACCAACACTAAACCTTGAATTAAAAGCTCCAATCTTTTAAGCTAGAAACCTATCATGACTATTATATTAAAATAATTTTCAGTTGTTAGTATAATAGTAACCTTATTATATATATTTATATATATCAAATTTCTATCAAATATTATGACATCTCACACTCACATTGTATTTAGTAGCCCATGTATTTCATTGCACATATACATACATAAGATCATCATATCATTAGAAGAATTTTCAGAAAATATGCCTAATTTTTGCTGTCTCACCTTCAAGAAATCATACAAACACTATGATTTATATGTCTCACATTTAAAAAATAATGTAATTGGTTTTTATTTTGATTTAATAGTGAATATATTACATAGATGTGGACTAGTACATTAAAGTCTCCCCAATAGGTTATGAAATTTACGATGATAGGTTAAGTTTTCAAACAAACCACTCTTTCATATCCCATCGTTGAAATGACTCAATAAAAGTTGATTTAACAACTATAGAATATATATTAGAGTCTATATATTAGATAAAATTCTACACGTTTCAAATCAAATCATATTTAATAGTAAACTACATTTTTTATAGGTCATCCACCGGTTCTTCAGATAAGCCTAATCGCATGTGATAATAGTTTAGACATTAAATAAGTAGCGTTCTTTTTGTTCCAATTATGATTAAAGTAGGTAAGGATAATTTCATATCCGTGGCTATATTGTCCAATATTCTTTCTATTCTCTCATCACCGATTAAAGTTCATACATCAATTTAATCAATTCCTACGAATTAAAACAACCTAAAGAAGTAGTAGACCAAGATAATTCAACTTAGGTCTAACATTTCATTTAATTAATTAATGTTGTCATTAGTTCCACTTTTATCTACTAACAAAGAACCATCAATTATCCTAGTAGCTAATTCTACGATTGAAATTTGAGTTCCCATCCAAAGTTCTCTTTCTTCCCCAATTTTCTTAAAATAACGCAATTAGATTCATGGTAACTGATGTAACAAAAATCATAATTCTCGAAATCGACACATATTTAACTAAGTTAACTATAGAACCACAATCGCCAACCTAAATTTAATTTAACTGTTTAAGGTACTTTTCTTCCATAAAAAATCATAAGTTCAAATCTTACCCACCCCACATGTTATATTAAAAAAAATCATAATACCACCGGTCAACATTTATACGTAAAATTTAAAACATTCTGTCCCCCATCAAAACATTCGCTAATAGCGTAATTTATATAGCACATACAACACATTATAAATAGTCCCATCTCTTTATGGGTGCTCGATTGATCATACCAAGACAAATTGCATAAAAGAGAAAAAGTTTCATCTTTCTTTCTTCATAGAACAGAAATGCAATCCAGAATATAAGTGGCTAAAAATAGAGAGGAAGAAAAAAAAAGGGACAAAATTTTCTGTTGGTGGTCCATCCAAAGTCTACATCATCAGAGAGGAACTGTAGAGGTAAGAAACCGTAGAAACCATTCTCTCTCTCTCTCTCTCTTTCTGTGATTTTCTCTCTCTCTTTGATCTTTATAAAGAATACTCGTCGTGTATAATTGTGCAGTCCAAGTTGAACGGTACCACCTAGCAACGTTGCTTTCGCTATACTTCAAATGGGCTCGAGAAATCTCTCGCCTTCATACACTGGTTAAGGGGAAGAAGAAACTAGATTGGCCACCATTGAAGCACCACCTTTGATTTCTCTTCGACCCCATCAACTCACCTTAGCTCTAAAGGAAGAAGACCCAATTTCTATTCATCTGTTCTACAGCCCCATTGGGTTTGATTGGCTGGCTCTGCAATCCCACATTTCAGGAGCTTGAGTTTGACTGTTGCTGGGGGGTTTTTCTTAATTGGGAACTCCCTGGAAGATAATTTGGGTGGATTGATTGGACTTTTGCTTGATAATTTGAGGTGGGTCGGCGCTGAAATCGAACTGATTTGATAGATTGTGGAGTTGTTGGTGGTGTAAATGGAGATTAAGGCGGGGACTGTTGCTGGATCCAGTCCCATCGGGCGTCAATCGGATGATACTGGACTTGAATCGCTCCAATTCTGCGAAGAAATTCAGGGGTTGATGACGATTCCTGCGGAAAATGCTAGCTCCTTCACTGCACTTCTGGAACTTCCGGCGACGCAAGCTCTGGAGCTCCTCCACTCGCCGGATTCTGGCGGAGGCGCGACGGCGGCGGTTGCGACAGATGAGGCCATCGTCCCGAAACCCTACTTCAGCGCCTTCGGTAGCAATCTGACGTTCCCGGCGGATTCAGCTCTAATTGAACGCGCCGCCAAGCTCTCTGTCTTGGCCGGAGAGCATTCGCCGGAGACGACGAGTTCAGTGCCGTTGAATTCAAGCGTCAATTTGGAGAAAGTGAAGAACGAGCCCACCACGGAAAGCGATTCGAACCCCAATCCGTTGCAGACATTAATCTCCGATCCGACGGTGGAGAACGCGAATCAGAGGTCGGCGAAGAGGAAGGAGCGCGAGAAAAAGGTAACAACCGATAATCAATAATGAAAAGAAAATATTCTAGGGTTTGGGTTTCTAAGATTATTCGCAATTTCCATGGCTGAACTTCAATCAATCACAATCTTGAGCCAATTTAGGGAAAAGGGTCATCAAAGAAGAGCAAGAACGAAAGCCTGGAAGATGCTGAAAAGCTTCCTTATGTTCATGTTCGAGCTCGTCGTGGTCAAGCGACGGACAGCCATAGCCTAGCAGAGCGAGTAATCTTGCTAATTAATCAGATTAATTTTCAACTTTAGTTTAATTAATTGTGTAAAATTAACTTTTCCTTTTTGCTTTTCTGTTCCAAATCAAAGGCGAGGAGAGAGAAAATCAATGCTCGAATGAAGCTACTTCAAGAACTGGTCCCTGGATGCGATAAGGTTAGTCTTCGTAGTTATGCAGTCTTTATCACAATTAAAATTCTCTCTGATTGAGATCTGTGGAGTTTGATTATGATTTCTGTCTAATTGTCTGCCAAAAAGTGCAATTACGGTTTTTGGATTATGAGCTTTAATAACGGTTTTTGTGATTGTCACCTTTTCTGCAATAAAGTGGTTGCTTTTGAGCCAAGGGAAGTGCACTGTGGGTCTTTTTCTTTATCATCATTCCAGATTTTTTTCTCTTATTTTTTCTCTTTCCTTCGCATCTCACAAGAACCCAAATCTTTAAAATGAAATAATAATAATAATAATAACTAATTAAGTGGGTTTATCTTTTTTTCCTGGAGACTTGGGATGAAAATCTTGTATAAAAGTTTGGATGATAGCTTTAAGAAATTGGAAGATGGGAGCCTTCAAGGAGAGGTTCCGTTGGGGCATGCAATCTCTGAGTAACACCTACCCAGTAATCGCATGTTCAAACCTTCGAGTGAGCTTAACAAGAAAAATTCTTGATGTCTTCTGGGTCCAGTTTTGGGGCGAGTGCGGGAGCCCCTGGTATAGGAGAGGAAAGTGAAACCTCTGACTTGGGATTATCCAAAAAATAAGAATAAAGGGAAGATGGGAACTTAGATGTTATTTGTTTATTTTGGTATGGAAGAGCTGAAAGTATTGAAATTTGAAGTCAGCTTTATCATCTACTCTACTCATTGGTGCTTGATATTTTTTTTGCATCTCTGGAGATTGCTTGAAACCTCAGCAAATTTTCAATTTGATTGGCTGGAAAATTTAGTTCCAAGGGAATGCTAGCTGGAGTTTCCTTGAAGCAGTTGGGGGACATATATAGTGGGGATGTCGAATCAGAAGAGGGGTCCCATTTGCTTGTTGGATTGTTGATTCTCTTTTGAGGGTCCATTGTACTCTCCATCTGTTTTGAGTTAGGCATCCATCATGAATTGGCTGACGAATATAGTATGACAGAAGAGCAACTTCTAACAGAGTATATGCATATATACCAAACTTCTCCTCACCTAACTTTTTCAAGGATGTTGAAAACGTGAGAGCCTTTAGAAATACATCCATCCCATCCCTCTAGCTTTATGGAATTGAGTAGCATACCTGAGGCAAAGCGCGTTAAGTAATGGTTTTATTATCAAGGCTAAATTACAAAAAATACCCTTGAATTTTGCCATTATGTTTAAAAAATATCCATATCCTTTCATAAGTTTCAATACTACCGTTGACCTTTCATAAATGTTTAAAAAATACTTTTGAGGAAACATCCGTTAAATGTTTTTAATGGAAAATTGACGTGGTAAAATCTGGAACGACGTGACAATTAACGTGGAAGCTTGCCTGGATTGAGTCTGAAAAAAGATGAAATGTGGAAGAAGCTATCGTTTTTAAAGGGGAGATTAGGAGAAATTGGGTAGAGAATGGAGAAGCAAACTATCTTGACAATGGAGGAAGAAGACTTTTAGGGCCAAATTGGGATGCGTTAATTGCTATGTCATTCTAGATTCTGTCATGTCAACTTTTCCTTCAAAATATTTATAGATGTTTGTTGAAAGGGTATTTTTTCAACCTTTATGAGAGGTTAAGGGTAATATCGAAACTTTTGAAAGGATAGGGGTATCTTTTAAACAAATGACAAAGTTCAGAGTTTNCATCTATAGAAAAGAAAAATCACCAACATTTATTTAACATTTCACACCAATATTTCTTGTTGATGGTTAATTATCAAACCCATAGTATTTTACCATTTTTGTAATTTAACCTATTATCAAAGGATTACGAGATGTCTTGAAATGAACCGATTAATATCACTGGCCTCGCCTTGATGGTTAGTTACCATGTAATTAAACCACCATTATAGTCTTCTGGAGATTATTGGTTTACTTGATAATTAGTGCCGTCAGATTAGATGGTGTATAAATATCTATCTAATTTCTGCCCTCTGAGAACTTAATCATGTACACTTGAATATTTATAGGACAAGGTTGGTGGACAGATGGTTCTGACTGTAAAATTTGGAATTTTTTTAAATAATATTTCTACATGAACCAGCTGTTGTACATCTTTTCCATGAATGATTGAGATTGTGTGTTCAGATTTATTTTCATAATAATGTTTAGACATCACAACTGTCTGTTTTATTGCTTTTGGTAAAGTCTATCTATTTAAGTTCATCTTGGGCCCTTTTATTTTTGTGTATATTAACATGCCAAGAAATTTCACTTTTATATAGCCTGGCTAAAGCATGGCTGTCAAATCAAATTATTGGAAGCCTATGATAACAGACACTAATGCTTTTCTGATTGTGTCTTTGATAAATGTCTGCATATCCAGGCAGTTCCTTTTTTAAAAAAGCATTTTTTTTAATCTCCAGTGTTGTAATATGAGATTATAGATGGATTAGTAATCATAATGCAATTAAGCACTTTGCAATTTAGAAACTGATTTCCTTTTTTTTTTTGTCCCCTCTCTCTGTCTCTGTGTAGATTTCAGGTACAGCCCTAGTGTTGGATGAAATCATCAACCATGTCCAATCACTGCAGCGCCAAGTGGAGGTCAGAATCTAATTACTTAAAAACATTTGTGATTGAGATGAAAAGGTTTAAGCTTCTGAGAATTTGGTTAGGTAGAACTGAGAATTCTGATAGAATCTGTTTCCTGGATAAATAAACTTCTCGTATTTGAACCGTACTTACAAGGCACATATGTGGAACAATTACTTTTTCATCTCAATTGGGTATTCCATAATTCAATAGAAAGAACTGTGGAACAACTGTTGTGGGCATGGATTTGAAGAATAAACTGAAATTCTGTAGTCTAATGTGGTATAAGCTGTTCTATAAGAATTGTGATCAGCAAAAAATTGAAGAAAATTTACTGAAAATAGTAGAGATTGGGTGGATGTTGAAAATGGTCACTGAACTGCAGCTTGAACCATCCATATCTGATATGAACCAACTCTGTTGAACTTCTTGTGTTTCAGTTCTTGTCAATGAGACTTGCAGCAGTTAATCCCAGAGTCGATTTCAACATCGACAGCATACTGGCTGCAGAAGTACGTAACAATGTTAAAATTTACACTTTGTTCAGGTTGGGGCAAAGCTTCTGTGAACTAACAACTCAAATTTAATGTCATGTTATTGTATACTGAAATTTCAGAACGAACCTGTACTCGAAAGCAGCTTTCCCTCCATGGTTACGCCATTGATGTGGCCAGAAATCCCGCTCAGTGGAAACAGACAACAATATCAACAACCGCAATGGCATTTCGATGCAGCAGTTAACCAGCAAGCCTGGGTGAGGGATGAACATAACCACCATAATTTCAGCACTCCTGAAAACTCTCTTTTAAGTTATGACTCTTCAGCGAATTCAGGTTAGACAACTTCCATACTTCAGTTTCAGGGCCTTTTGTTTTCTTGAAACCCTCTCTTTCCAAGCTAAACCGTGAAAACTGTCCATATCATATCGATTTCGTTGCCACTTGTTACATTTCGATGCTGGTTTCAGGCTCTGGAGAGCAATATTTGTGTAACTGAGTTGAGCCTGAATCTGAATCTGAATCTGAGATTTGAAACTAAATTAATATCATTGTTATGGCACAGCATCTCTGCACTCAAATCAATTGAAGATGGAGCTGTGAAGGCAACATTATATTTTACATGTAGCTACTAGTGTATATAGCCAAATATATGATAGTAATAGCAGCAGTTAGCAGAGAAGTAGAGGATCTGCCTCCACATTCAACTGGGTCGCCAAGGTTCTCTCGAATTATCAGAGTCGACTGCGTCGGGAACTGGATTGCTACCAACCAGAGAGGATTGTGATTCTTAATATCTAAAATTTTATGTGTATACTAATTTGGAGGCTCCTCTCAATCTAATACTGAGATTGCCAGATTAAAATTCTATTGATTGTGATTACAATTGTTAAAATGATTGCTATTTGACTGCTAATGTCCTTACTCAATTTGTTTGTTCAACTTTGTTCTTCCACTGTCTCTCTCTCTCTTGAATCCTTCTTTCTCAGTTTCATTTTCTTTTGAGATATGCAAACGCAAAATACAAAGAACTCATCACAGCAAAACCAAACGCTATGACGACACTGATGATGGCTATACAGTTGACCTCTGTGACCTCGAGTTGCTTAGCTTAATAATGATTAGTATTTGTGTGTAAGAAATCGTCGTTGAATATTGTTATAGGTTTTGAAGGCGACCTATATTGATCGAACAAAGTAAGAGTCTTCCTCGAGATGAACCCAGAATGTACAAGCTTGTAAAGACTTTGTTATATTGATCTTTGATTGGCAAAATGAAGGTCAGGATTGTAGTATCATGATGCATGTTCTATTTTTTGGATGAATATTTATTTGGATGCTAAAGCTGGAAACACAAGATTAGCCTAAGATCATTCTCGATTAAAAGGTAGAAGGTTTGAATTTCTATCGTCACATATTGTCGAACTTAAAAAACACTCAATGAGTTGATGGGAGTTCATTTCAAGAGGTGGGGTTTCGGGTAGGTTAAACATCTAAAGGCTCAACCGATGTCTAGAACAAAACTTGGTAATTGAAGTTCATGGGATAGACCATTCTTCCCTTGAAAAATTCTCTACTCTCTCCCTCCGCATCTCTAACTAAAACATCTTTCCCGAATCATATACCACGCCATGACTACTCTTTAAATTTCTAATTTTTATCGTCAATCTCTTTCATATATGAATCTATCTAATTAAAGGGGAAGAAGTTGCAGAGATGTTCTATAAAAAAACAATTAAAAAGAACTATTGAAATACAAAAAGAAACAAAACTATTGTTTATCCACAAACAAAGGAACATATGGATATGGAGATGGACACAATTACAAGTTTATTTAATCCAAAAAAAAAAAAAAATAGAATTGCAATTATTGATAAATTTCTATCAAATGATTCCACAGGCGACAAAAGGGAAGAAGAAAAAAGCTCAGATGATTCAACTCCCAATGGCGATTCTGCTCTTCTTCCTTCTCATCGTTCTTCCAGTCCAATCCCTCCGCCCAATCCCACTTCAACTTCCTGGCGGATCGACCTACTTCTCCGTCGCCGACTTCGGAGCCATTGGCGACGGCGTCCACTACGACACGGCCGCAATCCAGTCGGCCATCGACAGGTGCCCCTCCCCCTCCCGCTGCTACGTCACATTCCCTCCCGGAACCTACCTGACCGCCACGATCTGGCTGAGATCGGGCGTGGTGCTGGACATTCAGCCTGGCGCCACCGTGCTCGCCGGGACGAGGATCGAGGACTATCCGGCGGAGTCGTCGAGGTGGTACGCGGTGGTGGCGGAGAACGCGAGCGACGTCGGGATCGGCGGCGGAGGCGCGGTGGACGGGCAGGGGCTGAAGTTTGTGGAGAAGTTCGACAAGAGGAAGAACGTGATGGTGAGCTGGAATCAGACGGGCGCCTGCTATGGCGACGAGTGCCGGCCGGATCTCGTCGGCTTCATCGCCTCCAAGAATGTTAGGGTTTCCAATGTCACCTTGAATCAGCCTGCTCACTGGTGGTGCGATTCTCTCTCTCTCTCATAATTTTTGCATTTAATTTTTTTTTATTCATTCTTTTTAGAAATCAATGAGTTCATTAGATTGGAAGAACATGCATATAGTTTTGATCTTTGAAGTACATAATTGATGAAATAACCCAAATTTTAGCTTACAATTGTTGGCCCAAATTTCTCTTTTTGAAAGTTAGCTAAAATTTAGGAAGCGTTTATGAAGTGTTTAGATTTAGTTTTGTTATCAATGATCTTGCATTGGCATTTGTTTCTTAAATATTTCAATTCAAACAATGGTGTTATTTTAACCTACCATCTACAAAAGAGAGGTTATTAAAATTTTAATAAATTGAATCATGCTCAAATTTATAAAGTCTAGGATTGAGACTCTCAATTTTGTGTAATCTACATGAAATGAAGTTTTAGAAATTTGAATTTGTGCAACATGCACTTGATTTGTGAGCTTATGACTCGTCAAAGTTTATATATAGTTTAAATTCATAAGCTTTTATGAATTTTTAGGTCGTTCATAAGACTAATAAATTCATAGTAAGTATCAGTTTAAGCTCTAAGTGTAACATTTTAAGCCCTATTTTAGGACCATTTCGTTTTTTATTTTCTATTTTAAAAGTTGAACTTACACTCCTCCTTTCACCTTTAGGCTCTATGTTTCTTTGTTATGTTATATAATTTTTAAAGACATTTTTCAAAATCTAGGAATAAAACTAAAAAAAGAGCAGTTTTTTTCTTGAAATTTGACTAAGAATTCAAATGTGTTTCTAAGAGAGGTGAAAAACATACTAATGAAATTGTACGTAAACAAGTATAATCTTTAAAAACAAAATGGTTATCGAACAGGATCTTAAAAGTTCAAATGTTGTTTTCTTTTTCATTAGATTGAGTTTACCAATGCAGCTTGCATCTTGTTGGATGTGAAAACACAATCATTGAAGATGTTTCCATTTATGGAGACTTCGATTCACCCAACAATGATGGGATTGATATTGAGGACTCCAATAATACCTTCATCACAAGATGCAGAATTGACACTGGGGATGATGCAATCTGCCCCAAGACATCTAATGGCCCTGTCTTCAACTTAACAGCCACAAATTGCTGGATAAGAACTAAATCCTCTGCCATTAAGCTTGGCAGTGCGAGTTGGTTCAACTTCACCCACATGCTCTTCGACAATATCACCATTGTCGATTCTCATCGAGGTCTCGGGTTCCAGCTGCGCGATGGAGGTAGCTTCTTGCTTCCTTTTTTGGTTGTATTGAAGAAACTTCAGATGTTTTGAGCCTTCTGCTTTTTAGAATAAGATTTTGAATTCTTAGAAGTGAGTTCGAAAACGAAAGTAGGAAGATGTTTTTGAAAATGATATCTACACTACAAATATCTTCGACGATATCTGTAATTTCGACAACTGGTGAATTGTTTTTATGTGCAGTAGCTTTAGTAGTTGGTCATTGATAAGTTTGTGGGATTTTTCTTTTTTTCTTTTTTTCCTTTTTCCATCTTGATTTATGGAAGTTTGCCTGATAATGAAAATGCCTCAACTTATCAGAGACTGAAAAAAGTTCAAGAACATGCTGAATTCTGTTAGTGTATGTTCTGTTTGCTATTTACAACAGTTTAGCTGAATGGGATAGAGATGGTATCTAATTTTTTTGGTATTTTGTTATCAATTTTTTTTTTTCTTTTGGACTTTAATGTTATGTTTAGCTCATGGGTTAGGTTTGGGAAGTTTAGATTATGAAGTGAAATCTATCTGGTAGGTGGGCGTATCCTAAGTTATGGATTTGTTAATCCCATAAGCTACATTAATCTGGTTACAATAATCTAAACTTATAAAACTCACTTCCATATTACATAATAAGTTCTGTAAAATCATAAATGCACAGACATAATACAGATTCACAACTTAAGTTTATATAAATATGCACAATTCAAATACACATTTAGGCTTTTCAACCACAAGCTTCACAATACTTAAAAAGCTTTAAATACTATTGTAGTTTGTGTATTTTTGGCTTTGGTTTATTTTGTGTCCATGTAGTTTTAGAATGTCCATTTTGGTACTTGAACTTTTAAAAGTGACCAAAATGAACCAAAATCAAAGTACGTGACCAAAATCGTATGTAAACTTACTTAAAACCTGAGTCAAACATTCCCGAGTTGTAGTATAATTCATGTTAACCGTAACTAATTGTTGGCTTACACATGTTTTCTTTTAACTTCAATGTGCAAATTCAACCTGAAAAAAACAAGAGAAGATTCGTTGCAGCCATTTTGTTCATCTTTCAGAAGAATAATGAAAATTTACTTCATTCTTCTCTTCCACAGGAAGTGCAAATGACATTACATTCTCAAACATCAACATCACTACAAGATACTATGATCCTTCATGGTGGGGAAGAGCCGAACCAATATACGTCACAACTTGCCCGAGAGATCCAGGCTCGAAAGAGGGTACAATCTCAAACATACAGTTCATAAACATCACAGCAGTGGCCGAGAACGGGGTTTTCTTATCGGGTTCGAGATCCGGGGTTGTGAGTAATCTGCGATTCAGCAACGTGAGCCTGGCGTTCAAAAGATGGACGGAATATGGTGGTGGTTTGGCAGACTACAGGCCAGGATGCCAAGGGTTTGTGAAACATGGGATGGCTGGGATGACAATGGAGCACATTGAGGGATTGGAGTTTGAAAATGTTGATATGAAATGGTCTGATGATAGATCATTAAAATGGAACAATCCTTTGGATTTCAGACCCTCAACGGTGAATAATATCTCTTTCTTTAACTTTCACTCAGGTTTATTGACTTATTCCACAGAATGAGGGTTTTGTGGATTACTTGAATTTTGAATCCTAAAAAGTTGTGTATATATATTTTTTCCTTCTTTCTTTGTGAAGACTTGATTATTTTGCAATAAAAGTTTCAATTTTCATCTGTTGCAAAATTATTATTACTCTCTCCACGAGTGACCAGAAAAGAACAAAACTTTATTAAATGTAAGATTTAAATGTTAGAATTCAATTTTGTGATGGAAATGGTAATGTTGATGAAAGATTCCAACAAAATTATAGAAATGAATAGAAATCATTTTGAACGAGTAAATAATACTAAAATTATTGTTCAATTAGGCTATAATATATATATATATTTTTTGAATACTTCAATTAGGCTACAATTGATTGTTTTTAATGGTATGTAGACAAAATAATAATAATAATAATTCAAAAGGTAATTTAAGAGATTTTATTTCATCATACAGATCAAATATTGACTTTGGACTATAGGCGGACCATTGGAGACGATGTAGATTTGAGTGGACCAATTAGGTGCACGCTAATGCCAATTGAAGAGATATTAAATTTCTATCAACATGTCAACATTTTCATAGTATTGTAAAAAAATCGACTGAATATATAAAAAAAAAAGTAAGAAAAAACCACTAATGTGAACATAATATTTAACCATTGTAATTTTTAGCTTAATGTAAAAAGAGTGAAATAATTAATTTAAATTGTTTTTATGAATTTTTTATTTTTACGATTTTTGGAAAACGTCCATTAACATCGTCATTTTATCAACATTTTTATCGATATTTTTATAAAATTGAAACATCATACATTTCTATTGACATCAAGACAACAATACCTTATTCAATAAGGGTATTCAAAGAGCACTTGTAATAAAATTGTTGCAAGATGTTCTTGTCGAACTGAGCCTACTAAACATCTAGTGCTTAGTTATGTTAGACCAAAAGTCTTGAGTTGAAAAACTTTTGTAAAGTTACGAGTGATTCTACTTCTCATTGTAGGTTGAGATGAGATGATATCTTTATTGATACGTAATAGATATGAGATGCTAAGATTAGGATATTAGATCATCGCTAGAACGTAATAGGTATCAGTGATTAGGATATTAGATTATCGATCAAAGTGTGACGTGCGTTGGGGCGGTATATTCATACTATGATGATATGCTTACTTGAACATGATCTGTTCTATACGACGGTCGACTGAACTCAACTAGTGGTGGTAAGGTTAACAGTGAAAAATGTACATTCAGAAAGTGGAAAATAAATACCTTCATCACAGAAAACAATTGTCACTACATTCTGCGATCATTCGACAAGACAGCCAAATCGTTTGTACAGAATCAAACAATTGATCAAGCATATTTTCATCAGAGATGAGAGCTTACTTCCTCTTGGATTTCTTGGATGAGTTTCGGCTCTCCAGCTTCTTCTGGGCAGCCTCAAATTCTTCCTCGGTCGGTTCTGAAGCATCACCTCCACCATATTTGGATACCAAAGACGAGAACATGGAATCGAATCGTTCTTTCCTCTCATTCCGTCTCTGAGATATGATTGCATAGAGATCTGTTTCCGACTCTTTATTAGATCTGTTTACAAACCAAAGCACTAGGTAAGCTTTGGTACAAGACAATATTTGGCTGATATAAAAATTGAAGTATCATCATCAAAGTCAAAGAAAGTAACAAACTAAACAAACGTGCAGCGAGAACTTACTTCACCCTCTTCCTCAAAGGACTTGTTGGTGGCTTCGTTTCGGATATTTTCTTCGCCCATTTATTGTAGGCCTTTGTTGCTTTTAGTTCTCCTAATAAACGGAAGAAAAGTTAAAGATTAGCACTGTGATAGGTAGTTGCCAATATCAGAGGGTAGATTGAATCCGAATCCGAATCCAAATCCGAATCCGAATCCGAATCCTGAATGAGGTAGCAACCTTGAAGCAGCATGGATATGATACTCATACAAATTAAGTGGCAACATAATTAAACGTTAACTTCCATTAAACTTAATGTTGTACTAAAAAAAGACAGGTGCAATTAGAGTTTCATTAGTGCAAAAAATGGAGCCAAGTATTGTACTCCTCTAGCAAGCTACCAATACCAATACAAAAGCAAGATGAAAGAATGTCTACCAGCAGATATTGCCTCATCTAGTATATCCTTGAAGCGGTGTGAATCGAGCTTGGGATCCGAACAAAGCATTGAACAGAACAGTCTGTGACAGAAGAAATTTAAAAAGGAAACTCCGCAAGTGTAGAAAAACAGGACTTTGTCGACAGTCTCATTACCTGTTCATATTTCCCTTGAATTTCTTGAATAAATCAAACAAATCTTTCTTCTCGGAGTCAGACCCTCTATAATTTGCTTCAAATTCTTCTATATCAGCTTCAGTGACCTGCAATTAACCATATATCATTACAAACTAACTAATCTCAATGAGATTAACGAAGGTGTTGACATTTCTATATGGTGAAACCTTTTTGTACATGGTTCTGAAAAACTCATGAAGATTCTGAACAACTTCCCCTGCAAGGTCCTGAAGATAAGAATCCACAAGGACAGATAAGATTTTCTCCTCCAGATGTTATTACATGATAAAACTATTCACTTTTATCACAATGTCAGTCATACTTCACATTCAGTCTAAAACTATACAATTCTTTCACAAACAGTATACACATATAAAAGTTGATTATTAATTGTAAGCTCTGAAGTGTCTTACAAATGGACTAAACTGCCCCGCAAATGTGCATGAAAGCTAGCAAACTTGCATATCAATGTACCATTCAAATCCTTGTCCTTAATATTAGAATACAAATGTCCATGTAGAGACTAAGGTTGGAGAGAATCCAATGTAATAGTATTCTCATTATTGAAGTCCAAAGAGTAGAAGTTCTTACAGCATCATCAATACAGCCAGTTTGATCATAAACTGCTCGCTTCTCCTCATCCCCAAGAATAGACATAACCTTCTGCAACTGCTGAAATTTCTCTTTTGCTTCCTAAAGGGAGATAAGTAACAGGTAAACACTATATGACAGATAATAAAAAATAAACTCAACAAAAGTTAAATTAAATTAAACTGAAGCGAACTAAATTTTCACATGTTGAAATTAGCATTCACCTCATCTCCAGGGTTCTTATCAGGATGCAGGCGAAGTGCCAACTTATAGTATGCCTTCTTTATTTCCTGCTGAGAAGCTGTCCTCTCCACTCCAAGAACCTACAAGCATTATCATAAACCAAAATAGAAAGTGAAGTACAAGTGCTGATAACTGATAACTTCACAGGTTCAGAATAATAAAACAATTGCAATTAGTTATTAAAGTAGAAAGCACATGTGAAAGTTAGCATTCGAGAACCCAGTGTTCTAACTTCTAACAACAAGTATCAGTAAAAGGAAAAAGAAAAAGAAAACAGCTGAAATTATGTAAGAAATATTCTTATTTCACATTCCAGAAAAGTTATCAGCACATCGTGCATAACAGAAACCTGGGATCCACTACAGTTTCTTTGATCTGGGCAACTAAATTCCCTCCCTTTCACCAAACTAGAGTGCTAATGTATTGCAGAACAAGATAATTTAAAAAAAAATCAGAAAAAGAATCAATTTCTTACGACAATGAACAGGTGATCAAAGTACTCTTCTTTCTTTTCCTCCATGTCTTTCTCTAGCGAGCCTCTAAATTCACTAGTTTTTCATTTAAAGAACACCAAGTGATCCGATTATCTTTATCCTTGTCACAAAATTAACCAATTGCCACCAAATTTGAAGAACCGCTAGAAATTTAAGCTTTAACAGCCATGTCCTCCATATAATCTATATATTAAACGCCAACAACACGAGCAAGAGTCACACAGCACAACACAAGAACATCCACCACGATAGCACAAAAACGCAAGTCGCAAACAACAAAGCTAGATAAATCCAAGCGAAAAACAAAAAACGAAACGGCCACTCCATTTCTAGGGCAAACAAATCTCAGGACAAAATGGTCTATCAAGCGACAAATATAGAAACGACGGGAACTTCCATAAAAGCAATAACACACAGAGTACCTCGTAAAGGCTGTTCTGGTTCATGGAAGATTGAGTCGGAGTCTCAACTCGCTCTTCCTCCTCCTCCTCTTCCATCGCAACCCTAGATTTCTTCTTCTTCGCCATAGGAATTGGACGAGAAGCTAACAAAGAATCGCAAAATCTGAGAAATTATATGATCCGATGAACAAGAAAACGGTCGTTTGCTCGATCGAACTTTTGATTCAGTCGCCGCAACTCTCTTCTTCTGTGCTCGTATATTTTCCCCCCTTTTTTCCCGCCATGCGGATTTAGCTTCGCCCTTTTCCCGCGTAAAGATTCTCTACAACCGTGCTAGTGTCAATCTATCCTTGTAATTGATCTCGACCGTTCGTTTGATTCCGATCATGCCTGATCGTCTGATGGACCTTTGGTGGGACCCCTAAACTATATATTTGGCCTATTGGGAATAAAATGTTGATTTTTTTCCTTTATATTTTAGTAATTTTATACGACAAATATGGTGTGGGAAATAGATATTTTAGAAAATCAATTAGTGAATAAGTATTTTCTGCATAAAATAAATAAATAGATATTTTACATTTTTTTTATAAATTTTATTATTAGTATTTACAGTTAAATTGGTTATTTTATATTGATTGTCCATACCAAACTCTCAATTTACTATTATATGGAACTGTTGATGGATAATCTAATATTTAAGTGGTGGATGATTTAAAAAAAGAAAATGATATTAACATTCTTAAAATATTGGGTTCAATATATAAAATACCCTTAGAAGTCGGGGTTGGTTTCAATTATACTCGTATTGTTTCAAAAGTTACACTTCTACCATCAACCTTTAAAGTTATTTTAAAAATACCATTTTGTCAACTTTTCCGTTTAAATGAAAACAAAAAACATGACAGAATAGGGAGTGGCAAAAAGTGAGAAACACGTTGATATAAGTAGTTTAAGTTGTGCCTAAACTTTGGGATAAGTTTTGTGCCTCTATGTTCAAGTGTTTCTCTTAACTTTTAATCTTTAAAGTTGTTTCAAAACAAACATTCCACTAACTTTCCCGTAAATATGACGTGGTGGTGAGTTATAAAATGGAAGTTACATGTGTAATCAAATGATAGTCAAACGGTTCTAGTCACATTCAAAATGGTGGGGATTAAGGAGGAAAGTAGATTGGGGGAGTAGTTTGAGAGAGCTTTGGGAGGGGAATTTGTTCCTAAGAGAAAAATTGTGGAAGAGTAAGGTATGTGGAAAGCAGGGGTCAAACTAGGATAAGAAAAAAAAACGTCTTCCGAGATAAGAAATTTAATTATTAAGCGACTCACAGTCCTTAAATTCGATTGTCTTGAGTTTCTTAATTAACCATAATTTTTGTTGATTGTCAAAAGGGAAGCCTTGATTTTTCCCTTCGTCCTTAAATCATTTCTTCAACTTTTTACAACTCACCACCACGTTAGATTTTCATATTCATATTAGCATGAAAGTTTTCGAAAAAATTATTTTGAACAATTTTGAAAGTTAGAGTTAAACTGATACTTCTAGGTATATAATTGAAACTTAACCAAAAACTCAAGTATAATTGAATTTACCTATGTTCATAAGTACTTTTGTTCTACAAGTCAACACCTAAATTACTGTCTCATCACATTTCCATTATTTTAATAAAAAGGTTGACATATGGATCTTTTTTTAAACAAGTTTAAATATTGAGGGTAAAGATTAAAAATATAATTAAAACTTATCCTAAAGTTCAAGGATGTTTTATATAATTTAACCAAAATATTATAGGGAGCATTTTATAAGTAACATTTACTCTTATAATAACAACCGTATTGAAATTAGTTAATAATTTTTTAAAAAATAATTTATTAAATGGATGACTGTTTCATGAAAAATTACACTTTTAATAATATGGGTGTCTTCATAAACAATTTTGAAAACATTTCTTAAAAATGATAAAAACAAAAAACATGAATAACATACGCTTATATTTCTAAAAGTTGAAAACAAAAAATGAGAATGTTACCAATCAACCTGGAACCCCTCAATTCATGACATCCTTATAATTAAACCTTATAACTTCAATAAAGTTGAAGATATAAGACATGATTCTATCATGTAAAGAGCATGAACAATGAAAAATATACTGCAGCCATTTATCACAATATCATATTCTTCATAAAATTAGTAAAATCTAATCCATCATTTGAGTTGGATGATAATAATATAAAAATTGCATCCGGTAACTTTTTTCTTTTTTTTTTTTTTTCAAATTTTCTGGACAATTTTAGAAACTTTTTTCTAAAATAGTTACCAAACACTTTAAATAATTGAAAACGACAAGCAAAAAACAAAAAACGAGGAGGTCGACAAGCAAAAAAACAAACAAACGAGGAGGTTACCAAACAGGCTCTAGGCTTCTCAACTACCACCACCTTAAAATTATTGAAGCCTCTTGAAGCTGGTCTTGGATGAAGCAGAGCCTCCCTGAAAATTAGCAAAAGTCCTGGCATTCTTGGTTATCCTAAAACATCACAGGTCCACCTTGAACAACAATGGATGGATCAAGAATCTCATGGCGAAATATGCACAGAATATCTGAACAAAGAATGTACTAACTATTCATATAAAATGCAGGATGTGAGTTTAAAACATACCAAAAACTCATGCGCGAAAGCATTTGTAATTCATGCGAGCTTAATTCTCAATCCACTACTTCATCTGTCGAGCACAAAGTCGTAAAAAATTTAAACATTCATGGGAGAAATCCCCAAACACCATAGTTGTTATTTTCACTAACACACAAGATATCAAATTTATGGGATGAATCCCCAACTGTCTTTCTAGTTTCTACCTCGTTTGAATATGGCAGAGAGAGACAATGAACTGACGTCTAAAGACAACAGATGCATAAGATACTTGTTAACATCTACTAACAAATTTAGACTATAGGGATCAAATTGAAATCGAGCATAAATGATAGGAACTAAAATGATAATGAAAACTTTGCTTTATAATGTAACGACTTCCATAGGCTGTTACTTAACATACCTGAATAGTTTCCATCAGCATTATACACGTTCTGTCCATCTACTAGTATCCATTTCCTCAACGTATACGCCTTAATCTCGAGCTATTGGATGATTATTTTTCCAGCAGATAACCAACTTATTTCGGTTTTCAATCCGAAGAGAAACATTGCCATTCTTAATACGTTCAGAAGAATCTGGTTATTGGGATTCTCGCGTCCAAAGATTTTCAGTTTCCATATCTTCCCACAACACCACAATATTCCAGACCAAGAATTAAATGTTGATTCTTGAACTGTTGTTTGATACTTCAGTTCATGTATCAAAAACTTGTAGACTGCAACTTAATTGCAATCTTAATGGTAACAGAGAACTCAATACCATATGTAGCTTCAGAGCTTACCAGTAATCTCCACAAGAACATACTCCCCCAACTATATTATGAAACCGGTTTTTGTCCCTAAGGATAACTGTCCTGGCATAAAGCTTTGAGACAAATTTGGCAAAACTATGGCAATCGACGCAAACTCGGAGGTTTTTTATGACACGGATCGTAGCTCTGTCAGGAGTAGCAATCAACCCGAATGCTAAAGCTAGCTTTTCACTATGGCCTAGAAGTACCTTCTCCTTCTGCTCATCATCCACATCGTACAAAACACAACTCAAGTCAGGAACATAACCGTCTTCCTTGAATTTAATAGACAATTCCTTCACCTTCTTTGCCACCTCCTCTCGTCTTGGATGAGTGTGATCACTTGCATGGAAAGTATGCACAACTTGATCAAGCTCTACCCAACTGCGACCAGGCTCTTTTATCACAGCTTTCTCTTGCATCGAGTCTCTAATATTTCTCATATCTTCCCATCTTCCTGCAGAAGCATATAGATTTGAGAGAATAACATAGTTCCCCGCATTTTCGGGCTCGATTTCTAGAAGCTGCTGACCCACAATTATGCCGATGTCGACATTCAAGTGGACCCGACATGAACCTAATAGTGAACCCCAAATAGCAGCGGTTGGCACAAAAGGCATCTTTTTTATAAAATCAAATGCCTCTTTAACTCTGCCAGCACGCCCTAGTAAATCAACAACACAACCATAATGCCCAATATCTGGTTCAACTCCATCCACTCCATCTGCCATGTTATAAAATATTTCAAGCCCCCTATCTTCCAATTTTCCATGGCTGCAACCAGATAAAACCGCCAAAAATGTGATGCTATCAGGTTTGACTTTGTTTTCTTCTCTCATCAATTTAAAAAGTTCCAGCACATCGTTCCCCATTCCATGTTTACTATACCCGACAAGCATCGCATTCCATGATATACAAGTTCTCTCTGGCATGCTATCAAAAATCCTCCTGGCATAACAGACATTCCCACATTTTGAGTACATATCGATGAGAGAGTTTAGAAGAACCACATAAGAAGATTGTCCCAACCGAAGAACATGGTTGTGGACTTGCTTTCCATGGTTTAGTGCAGCAAGTCCAGACAGAGCAGTTAAGATGCTAGCATAAGTTACATAATTCGACTTCATGCCCTCGCTTTGCAACTGACGGAATAGCCCCAATGCTTCTTCATCAAGACCCATTTGGGCATAGCCAGAGATGATAGCAGTACACACAACAACATCTCGTTCAGGCAAGTATCGAAAAACTCCATGTGCTTCATGGATTCTACCAGATTTAGCATACATGTCAAGAAGTGAACTTCCAACAAACATGTGGGATTCATAATTTCTTTTTATGGCAATGGAATGAACTTGTCTACCAATTTCATATCCCAAACTACCTATGCATGAAGTAAGTATGGTAGCAAAAGTGAACTCATTCGGTTCTGTACCTGCAAAAATGCCATTTTATCATCAATATATTAACATGATTTAATACAACATTATCACTTAATCAAATATGTGACCATTTATTTATCACTTCACTTAAGAATGACATAATTAAATTGATTTCCTTCTGAAGAACAAATAATATATATGACCAATAAGTGTGAAATTCATAATTATGATAGGAACCAGAAATTGGAAAGGAAATTAACATAAAACAGTATCGATATACATATAAAGAAGTCAATTACAATCCTCCAAGCCCTTCGAGAGGCCTAGACTCTCAGCAAACTGTTTCCAATCAAACTCACGCACATCTTGACTAACTTCATGAGACAACTGCTATTGCTAACCAACTCTCTTTGTCTAATGACTAACATGCCCTAATATTTTAATAATATCTACAATATTCATCCTAATAATATTACTAACAAATTATTTTTCAGTAACAACAGTCTTTTCTGTCATTAAAATTCAAGATGAGGGGTTCTATCCTTTTGGGGCCCTAGAGTAACAGCTAATATCTGTGCAAAGTCTATCAATCCACAAAACAAGGAGTATAAAATGCCAATTCTAAAGAAAGAAAACCAGATTATACATTTCAGTTAGAAGAACAAAAAAAAAACAAGAGTACCTGATCTTATCATTCCTACAAACAGATTCAAGGCTTCGGAGGCAAAACCCCTCTGCGAATAAGCCGAAATCATGGCCGTCCACGAGACCACATTCCTCTGAGGCATTTCATCAAACACCTTCCGTGCTTCACCTAAACACCCGCACTTATTGTACAGCACAAGCAACCTCGTTCTGAGGTAAACGGGAGGCAGATAACAGGTTTTAATCATGTGGGCATGGACTCTCTGGCCTTCTCTAGTGGCCCTTTGGCTAACGCACTCGTTCAAGATTGTATCGTAACCTTCAAACTTCATTTCCGCGCCTAAAATGGCCATTTGCAGCAACGCTTCCTTAAATTCGCCATTGGAACAGAGAGTTTTCAAGTTGGGTGATGAGGAAAGTGAAAGTTGGCGGGTAAATGAGTAATGAGAGACGGAAGAGAAGAATATTTGTTTGCCATTAGAGTACAAGCGGGAGGTCTTCCATGGCATTTTCAGCCTTCAGGTGTATTGAACTTTGTTTCTCCCTCTGATTTAAGCATTCAAGTTTAATGGTCTTGTATTCATTTTATAGCTTAATGTTTGAGTCATTTTTTAATTTTTTTACTTAAATTTTCAATTCCAATTAAATTCTAACTACCATTCAAGGTTTTAAATCATTTAAAAATAATAATTTCGCGTGAGAATACATTTTATTAACTAAGTTAGAGAAATTTTAATAAATTTGATCAAAGTTGTGAGTTCGACCCGCTATAGATGCTGACTCTTCTGAGACTCTTCAACATCTATAAAAAAGTCCACTGCTCATGCCCTTTTTGGTATGATTCGATAGGGCTATTATAGTGTCAGAGCCCCCTTACTTAAAAGCTTAAAAGGGCTGCGGTCCTAACTGATCCACCGTCCCCGACGCTATGCACTGGCCATTCCGACATAGATTCGGAATACTGCCCTCCCTCTCTCTTATCTTCCCTCCCTCTCTCTTATCTTCCTTTACCACTAGAATGGCCATATATAATTTAGAAATCCACAAAAAAGTAATAAATTATTGGGTTTGACCGAGGGACGAAGGAGACTAGAGGTTGCTGAAAGATGGTTATCGGTTTAAAGATGAAAGGTGCACTTGCTTTTTCTAGGTAAGAAAGGGAAGAAAACAATACATCGAGCTAATGTTCGAGCACAAGGCACACCCTATACTCCCAATGACAAAAGGGTACCTGACCTGTAGCCAAAATCGACATAAATGGGTTGGTAGAGAATACCTAGGGCAAGGCAACTCTCTCCCAGAAACGTGGTAAGATGGCCATATATACATAATTAACGAGCAAATTGCAACAAAGACAAAAGAGTGAAAATATAGTTCAAGAAGATCAAGATCAAGTTTTCTCATTAAACATCAAACAAAGTAAACATAGTTTTTGCTCGAAACCACACACCACCACTCCACTCTTGACAAGTCTCTCTTCCAAACCTTACATAAATTATTCCCTTTATTCCTCTCCTGGCCCTCCTATTTTTTCTCTTCACTTCTTACAAGCAGTAGGCAAAGAGTGAAGCAAAAGAGGCACCAACGAAGGCCCCAACAACGGACAAGGCAGCAGCAGCTGAGGCTTCGCCAGTGGACGGGGCAGGGGCCGAGACCGAGCCAGGAGTCGAGATCGGGCCTTCAACAGCGGAGGCTGCCATGGCGCCACTCACGACAGCAGCGGCGACGAGGACGGCGCAGGTGACCTTCTTCATGTCCATGGCAACGAAATGAGAGAAGAATAAGCTTGTCAAAAGGTTTTTGCAGAGAAAGAGAGAGACCAGCTAAAAGAAAGCACTGATCTCTTCTTCCTTTGCGAATTGAGCTTTTTTTGCTTGGCGGGTCTGAAGAAAATGGGAGATGGGGTAAGGATTTTATAGGGTTTGTTTGGTGATATTTTTGGGCCAAAATGGTTGGAAAAAAGAGAGCTTTTTGGTGGTGGAAATTTGGAATGGTTTTTGTTTATTGCATGCCATGAAAATAGGGGTTTTTCGGTGGCCAATGGTGGAGCTATTCTTGTGGCTTTTTGGAGCATATTTGGCTAAGGCAATTTGTTGATGTAAACCAAATTAAATTAATTTTTTTTTTGTTCTTGAGGGGAATTAGGATTTTCTCTAGTAAGTTTTTTTGGTATTAAACAACAATATATATTGTTGAAATTTTGATCACCTCTTATTAAATGCACTTTTTAGTTTTTATGTGTGTTTGGGGAAGCCATTCTTAAACATTTGTCCCGCTCTCTCTTTTCTAGTTACGGTTTGTTAAAATATATATTGTGTTTTTAACATATGTCAATCGGTACAACATCGACACCTGAGATAAATTGACATTTTAAAAAGTGTGACAAAAAAGATCGATGATATTAAATATGAAAAATATTAACAAAATATCACTAATATTAATATTAATCATTTTTAACTCATTTAAAAATGGTGCAATGATTATTTTTAATTTAAATATTTCTTATAATTTTTTTTAACATTTCCATAAATATCCGACAATCTATCGATATTTCTATGAAATTGAGACTTCTACATTTAAATTGACATCAAAGTTTAAAACATTGCTCACGACGAAGAGGCCTTTGCTCTAACATTGTTATAGATCACAGGCGCGTTGCAGATAATCTCACATGTCATTAGTCTTCCACAAATCGCTCGGAGAATCAACAAGACCATAAAGATATAGACATGATAGACCTAAAAAAACTCTCTCTATTTTAGAAGGGAAGACCCTCATGCATGAGATACACTACAAAATTCTAATTCTCGCTACCAGCTGAAAAGTATAATCTAACTTAGCATAGAAGTTGAAAAGGATTGAAAGAAGACACAAATTTCTGTGAAAATATTAAATCTCAATTGCAAAGTAATTGCTTCACACAATTTTATAGAAACCTTAAGCCATCATCCATATGGATTGTTACTCATAAAGAGTAAAAGGAAAGAAAAAAATCAGCCTCCTTTATGAGATGTAAAGGCAACAATTCAAACTTGATTTTTCCCACTGTCTGGATTCTTACTCGAGGCAAGGGAAAAATCTCAGCAATTAAGGGCTGCTTTTGGTTTCTGTCATGCATGGCTGCTGATGTAGACAAAGGTGATGCTGACTTAGCTTGGTGCTGACTTGGAGATTGCTCGATGTACTTTTTCTTGGTATCTTATAGAGTGTGTTTGGTTAGCACTACACTGAGTACGTTCTTTCTTTGTTTTGCAAGTTCGTCAAATCTCGTTCAACAAGAAGAGATATGTGAATTTGGTTATTCTTTGCTAAGTCGATTCCACACATCAAATATTTAGGCTTAAATACCGACCCAATTTTGGTCCTTGTATTGTCATAATTATGTTAATTTGGTCATTGAGCTTTCAAAACGTTCATTTTGTTTTCTAATTTTTCAACTTTGTTCCATTTTTTGTCTCTAAACTTTTGAAATTTCCATTTTAGTTATTCAACTTTGAAATCTTTTGCTCCCTATTTTTATTTTGATTTTAACAAAATAAATAACATGGCTTCGAGTATCCGCACTAAAGTGTTAACATAAGCATTATCATCCTAAGGAGTTCTTGAACTCTCATGGTCTTGCTCTCTACAAGACAAATATCGATGGTCAGAGGCTCCTTTTAGGAGTGTCGATAATCAAAGCTAATTATGGTGGCACGATGTTAGAAATACGAAGATTGTCGTCGTGAAATGAGTCTTAAGCTAGTTTGCGACTCCTTTCATGTTGAACATGACAAGTGTTTGACCACGTCTCTAAATGTTGGGAAGTTGGGTCACAATCTTTAATTAGTTGGTCACAATGGCAACACAGCCCATGAGAGTCCGAGGGGTTTGCCATGCCAAAAGGTAAATTGGGTAAAATACTTAGAAGGGTCCAATCGAGATGAGCCAAGGTGATGTCTAAAGGTCCAATCTCATGCACATTGTATACAATATCCCCTTATTCACAATGGCTCCAAAGGAAAGAACTATTTATTCATACAATGATTCAAATCCCTCATTCTTTTCATATGATGTGATACTTGGATGTGACATCGGGTTGAAGAAGACAGTGAGTGACTATCAATCACGGTTGAGCACATAAATAATGAACACCGACAGATTCTAAAACAAAAGAATACCTGAATTAATTAATATTATATTTAGAGAAACGCAACACATATGATTAAAAGAAAGCTTAAAAAAATTAATAGGTACTATCTATAACAACATAGTATAATTTTTTTAATGACTTCTGGTGGTCTATGACACTTGTACTCGAGGACTAATAAAGCATGTGTTTTGGCCTAGAACAACTCTATGTTAGGTGACTTCTTAAGACATCATGTGAAACATGTCAATGTTAGGTGTTAAAATCAAATTTCAAGTCCTGATCTAAATCTTATGCTTAAGATTACGTTACCGGGGATGTCCACACAAACTACGATCACTATTTACAATTTTACCCTTTGCAAAGTAATTCATATATAGTTGTTGTAGGTGAAATTATCGTTTTACCCATACCAAAATAGCACTCGGAATCTAGTAATTATAAGTTTTCTTAATAGGTGTTTACACTTACACTTATTATTTTACCTATTCAATAATCCATCTCATACTAATTATCTTCTCAATTCAAGTACATATTCAATAATCCATCTCATACTAATTCTCTTCTCAATTCAAGTACAACGTCCCACATTTTATAAAAAAATGGTTAATCAATGAACAGAAAATCTTCAATCACAAACATATTATATGTACATTTTCCAAGAAGAACCCTTACAAATTGAAACCAATATCTTCCCCTCAATCAACACCAATGAAAAACAAGCACAGCATATAGCACACAGAGAGATCCCAAGAAGGTATAGAGATGATTTTGTCCATTTCATAGAAGTTTGTAGAGCTATAGCTAATATCTCAAGTTTTCCAATAAATTATTTTGATCAGCTTGCAATAGTCCCTGTGGTAGGGCGCAGTTACGTTGCAAAGACCTGCAGTCTGCTTGTGGTCTTATCCAATGATGTCTTGTGTTCGAGTCTTGCATTGGTCATATTGTTGCTCAGTCCAGACAACAAGTTCCGATTATAAAGATACACCCTGCATAAGCTCTAAGCTATATGACATCGCCTCGGGAGAGAAAAAAAATAAAGATGGACAGCTCTCCCTTTTGCTTGTTGTGCAGAAGAAGCAGCAGCCCCTGAGGGCAGGCCAAGGCAGTTATGAGAGGATGAGGATGAATATTATTATGGTGTGTGAGCCTTTTCAAACTCTACATTATTTTGCACCAATATGATGTCACATCTCTTTGTCAACAGTTTTCACTCAATCATTAGGGCCTTTCTTCTCAAGTTTTAGTTGTCCTTTGTGTAACTCCTCTCCACATTGTCCCCATTCTCATCATCTATAGTGATTCAACTGAGTGGCAGCATTTAAACCCCATATATGTCTATGGTACATGTACTTTATCATTTGAACTAAAACTTTGGTTTAATTACTAGTCCATCCTTCAACTTT